GGTGCTTGTCTTGTAGGAGGTGGTCTCGGCGTATCGCCCGATGGAGTCTTGTGGACAAGGAAGGCTCACTGAGGAAGCAGAAGCCCCGCTCTCTGGCCCCAGATCCCTCGTTCTGACCTAAGTTCTGAAATGCCCTCAGCGTTTCTCTCTGTGTGTCTTCCTGCTGCTCCATGAGCAAGTGAGCTTCGTGCAGGGCGGCCCTGGCTCTCCGCAGGCCTCAGCTGATGCCCGATGGATGAGTCTGCAAGTGAGTGAATGGGCACCAAAGGGGCATTGGTGTTCTCTGATGCGGGGGGCTCCCGCCTTCCCCACGAAGCTGGCAGCTCTGCAGGTGGCGCCCAGTAATCAGCGAGGGGGGGGGCGCTTGCCTTCTGTGGTGTTCTGGGGAAAGGGAAAGGGAGACGGGAGCCAGCGGATAGAAGGTGAGGAAGCAGGAATGCCCCAGGTCACGAAGGAGTGGACTTTGGAGTCAGATGGACGGGGGCCAGATCCAGGCTCCAGCCCAGGGGCTCCACATCCCAGATTTCCTGGCCAAGCAGGTGTTTCTTTGAGAACCGCCTGGGGACCAGGCACCAGTAAAGATGCCAGGGGCTGGCGGTGAACAGACGGCCACAGCTCCTGTTCTCAGAGGGCTTTGTGTGTCCCGGCGGGAAAGACAGGGGACGATGCACAGTATGTCCCAGGATGAGAGCCAGGAGCCATCAGAGCTGGGATGGAGGGGTGGGAGGAAGAGAGGAGCTGGCCCCGTGCCTCAGCCCGCGAGCCCAGTGAGCTCAGTCATGGTGGCGCTGCTGTCCTTCCCTGCCTTGTTCTAGAACAGCGCCTGCCTGTAGGTCTGTGGGCTCCACTGGTGGGAGAAGTGGGCAGGGTTGGTGCCAGGGGACAGTGAGGCCCCCAGGGGACCAGGAGGGCCTGGGCATGTCAGGGACCTTCCCCTCCAGGTGTCTCACATCAGTGGGTGGCCCGCCTGCCCCCTCCATCCTTCGGGAATGCTGGGAGGCCCCCCTGCCCTGTGGCGGCGTGTGTTACTTCCTCACACAGATGTGGGGACACACTTTTCATTAATTAACTGCTAATGGTTCACAGGTGGCAGAGGTGGCCCTACGATGGCACCACTGTGTTACTCAGAGGCCAGAGGATCTGCTAGTGTGTCCGCACCTCTGGGAATCCTCCCAGAGCAGGGTGTGGAGGGAAAGGATGGGGAGGAGGAGGAGGGGGAGGATGGAGATGGGGAGGAGGAGGAGGGTAGGGAGGGAGAGGATGGGGAGGAGTGTGGGGAGGAGGAGGAGGGTGGGGAAGGAGGATGAGGACCAGGAGGAGGGCAGGGAGGGAGGGGATAGGGAGGAGAAGGAGGAGTGGGGAGGAGGATGGGGAGGTAGAGGATGGGGAGGAGGAAGGCAGGGAGGAAGGGGATGGGGAGGTGGAAGGTGGGGAGGAAGAGGATGGGGAGGAGGAGGAGGGTAGAGAGGATGGGGATGGGGGGAGCAAGAGGGTGGGGAGGGAGAGGATGGGGAGGAAGAGGAAGGTGGAATGGATGGGGATGGGGAGGAGGGGGATGCACTGTCCCCTCTGCACCCTCCACCGCTTCAGGCGAGCCACAGGGCTGCACAGCCAAGGACTGGGGCTGTCCCGAGCACTCAGCTCCCCGCGAGGCCAGGGCAGGGGCGAGGATGCAGGGAGGAGGGGGAGCACCCCCGCCCCCGGCAGCGAGGCAGGGAGCCAGCACGTGAACCCAGTGCCCTGGCGGAGCCCCTGCGTCCTTCATGACCGCCCAGATCCGGTGTCCGAAGCGTGCCACGAATGTTGCAGTGATGATGGTGACAGAGTCGGGGGCCGAGATGAGCGGGTGGGCACCTGGCGGTCAGCCTGTCCTTCGTGCTACACGGGGGCGGGCAGGGAACGTGCAGGACACGGAGGTGACCAGAGCTGTGTTCATAAGGTGGCGGGGGACCCGGGGAGGCTGCTGAGAACTCCGTGGGGCGTCTGAGGCAGCTGCAGGTGGCCTGGACCCGGGTCCCCGAGATGTGGTTAGCCCGAGGGGTGGGGTTCGGGGTCGGACACACGGCTCATTCCATGTGCTGCTCCTCTTTGCTTCGGCTGCCAGGGAGCTCGGCCACCATGTGCCCTCCTCGGGGCCCACGTGCCATCTCTCAGGCCTGTCCAGACCTCCTGGATTTCGGCAGCCGCTCACCCTGGGGGCCACGTGCTTCTGGGAACTGCCTCCTGCCTTCTGTGAGGTATAACTCAAGTGAGGACAACGGTCCCTGGAGGCTGGGTCCCTTCCCCCAGGATGGCAGCCCCTGGGGCCACTCCTGCCTGGCCTCCAGGGACGTGGGGGCGGCTTGGGCTCCCTGGCTCCCCGGCCCACACTTCTTGGGCGCCTCCTGGGTGCCGGGTGCTGGGCCCACCCATGGAAACAAGCTCACCCAAGTCCTTTCTCAAACAGGCCTGTTCATCCACACGGGTTCCTGTGTTGACCGCCTGTGGACAGTCTCCACCCGACAGTTAACTCCCCTTCACAGCGACAGAGTGGCTGCACCCCCCGGGTGGCTGGGATGGTCCTGCTCTATGCCTTTCGTTGGTGTCCTCCTCCTGGAGATAACTGTGCATGGTCACCCCCAGAAGCGGCTTGGAGATCCAAGGGCGGAGGGGGGTCCTCTGGAGTCAGGCCGCTCAGTCAGTCATGCCCGACGTCCCGCATTTCCTCGCTCCGTGAGTCCACGAATGGCCCACGGCTCTGAGCCTCAGTGTGCTCACCTGTACAAGGGGTATGATCATAGTCTGCATCTCAGACCTGTTGTGAGGTGAACTAAGGCAGTTCTGGCCTGGAATACGCAGGGACTAGGTTTCACGCCGTAATAATTCTTGCGTCCCTTGTGTCCTACAAATGACTGCAAACTGGTACCGGGAGGCACCTACGCTAGCAGCGCTGGTAACCCGAGTGTCTGCACAGTCTTGAAACAGAGATGATGTTTACATGGGCTGGAGCAGACGCTCAACGAACTGTGTCCGAAACGGGTTTACCCAGTCTTCCAGGCCCCGTGACCCCCTGTGGTCACCCTGAGTCTTCCTTCAACACTAGGCATTGGGGATGGCCGTTCTCTTTATTTTATAGAGATGGGAGCTGAGGCTCAGGGGTGCGGGGCCGACAGGCGTCAGACCTCGGGGATGGCCTGGCTGCTCCTCGCCGGGGCCGCGCATCCCCGGGGCGCTCGTCATGTGGGGTACAGGCTGGGTCCTGGGGCGCCCAGCCCATCGCACGGCCTGGCCCCGCTCACCACCCTGCTATGGCCTCGCCGCAGCCCTGCTCTGCCAGCGTCCCCTGCCCGCCCCCCACAAGCTTCTCGGCTTGGGAACCTCAGGCTCCCCGCCCCTCCGCGCAGCTAGCAGCGAGGCAATGAACCCACTGGGTGTGGAGGAAGTGTGCGTGTGTGTGCAAGCGTGCACGAGCATATGCATACGTGCACCGGGTGTCCTGGCCAGGGCCGGGCGCGGTGCCTGCAGCTGTGCTGGGGGCACCGGCGGGTGTCTGAACGTGCGCCCAAGGGATCCTGAGAGGTGAGGCTTCGGGCACTCGGGCCCGGCCCTGCCCCGGGGGGGCGGGTAGAGAGACTGGAGCCCTCCCTCCAAGCGGCAAGCGGCGGGCGCTGGCCTGAGCTCTGCGTGAGCTGTGCCGGGCTGTGGCCGAGCAGCAGGCGCCGCGGGTGGCTCTGTCGCGGCTCCCCCAGGTCGCACGTCCTGTCCGCCGCTGCACTGTTTTCTGTTCCAACTAATCTTCTGTCTTAAAGCGTGAACACACCCTACGCTGCTGAGGGCCAGCGCTGAAGCTCATGTGTCCCGCCCTCCGGGCCCCCAGTAGCAGGGGTCCTCCGACGCGGGAGGGCCCCGGACGTGTGCTCCGCACAGACAAGCAAGCTCAGGGGCGCGACCCCCTTACGCGCCTCGCTGGCAGATGCTGTGTGAGTTTGCGTGCTGATTCTTTTTTTTTTTTTTAAAGATTTGATTTGAGAGAGAGAGAGAGAGAGAGAGAGAGAGCACAAGCAGGGGGAGAGGGAGAAGCGGACTCCCCGCTGCACAGGGAGCCCGACGTGGGGCTCAATCCCAGGGCTCTGGGATCATGACCCGAGCCGAAGGCAGATGCTTCACTGACTGAGCCCCCCAGGCGCCCCACATGCTGATTTTCATGACTTACTGATTTATATCAGCTGAGCTGCGTCTCTGCAGCCCAGATCTGCTTTATTTTCTTCCATGTCAGTACACGGGTCACGGAGGGAAGGCCGGTCAGTGATGTAGCCAGTGGCCTGTTGACGGTACCAGTCCCTCGTGTGTGACAGACACACTGTGGGCGTCCTCGGATGTCCGTCTCTGTGTGTCCCCCAGAGTGCAAACACGGCCTGGTTTTCTGAGCAGGGGACCCGAAGGAGGGCCACTTCCCTTTGCCTGTTCACAGATGAACCCCTTTTGCAGCTGTTGTGTGAGGACCACGGCCAGGCTGTGCTGAGGTCCGAGACAGAGAGCTGATGGCTGAGCGGGAGGGCAGGCCCCCAGGCCCCCTTGCTGCTCCCAGATGCCTGAAGCACAGGTAGCCTCAGGAGCCTGAGGCAAGGCTCTGAACCTCGTCTGGGACAGGAGAAGGTGGAGATATGCAGAGAAAGTCAGACTTAGCCGGGTAGGTGAAGTGCTTACAGCAAAAGGCTGAGGAGAGCAGCATGGGTGAGGGGCATAGCATGAGCAAAGGTCCTGGGGTGGGAGAGAGTTCATGGGAAATTTGAGACGTCTTCACATTGCGGTGGCCAAATGCCAAGTTGTGGGGTGGGTTCCGGGGGGAGGGCTTCCGCTGGAGGGAAGTAGAGCACCCAGATCAGGTGCTGGCTCCCATGCGAGTGAGCCCCAGGCTTTGGAGGGTCATCAGTGGCCCCTTGGGTGAGCAGTCACCTTGGCAACCTGCCCCCCTGCGGAGTCACATAGGAGTGGTGATCACCCTGGTGTTCCCCTTCCAGATGAGATGGACCAAGCACCCCCAGCGCGCTCCGAATATCTGGTCTCAGGGATCCGCACTCCCCCGGTGAGGAGGAGCAGCAAGCTGGCCACCCTGGGCAGGATCTTCAAACCCTGGAAATGGAGGAAGAAGAAAAACGAAAAACTGAAACAGACGACGTCCGGTGAGCATGGGGGACAGGGAGCTGGCGCCTGGGTCATCACGCTGCTCTGCGAGCACGTTGGCCCCTGGCCCCCACGGGAGGGCGGGCTGAGCTCTGTGGGCCCCGCTGGCAGGAGCTGTTCCACTTCTCAGGTCACCTCCATCCCCAGTCCTGGTCTCGGGACACACCTGTCACCCACTCACCACCCAAACCCCCGGGTGCACCAGTCTCGGGGTCCCTGTGGGGCAGGGTGGGGCGACAGGCTCGCAACACTCTCCGACGACACTGGGCCTGCATCCCTGGGAGCCCCCCGGGCGGTTCGGAGGGTCAGGGCCCTCCTTGTGGCCTGGATTCTGGAGGCATCCCTTCTTACTGGAAGCCCCAGCCAGCCGCTACCTGCCCCCCCCCCCCACAGAGGCTGCCCATTGGGGAACTCCCACCCCAATGCCTGCCCCCCCCCACCAAGGGCCCAGCAGCTTCCTTCCCTCACTCACCTGGGGCTGCGTCCTTACACCCTGCCAGTCCCCGCTCGGTGGGAAGTTGGGCTGTGCTGGACCACAGATGACACCTGTGGTGGGCCCAGCCATGATAGTAGCAAGGAGTGACCAACCGAGCCCTCAGAGCCAGTGCTCTCAGGGGGGCCTGCCCATCTCAGGGAGGGGAAGCCAGTCCAGGTCACGTGGCCGGCAGCCTACGGAGCTGGAGTGTGAGCCCTGGCAGCCGGGCTCGGGTCTGGCTCCCACGTGACAGGGAGTCCTTGGTAAATGGGAAGGAGGTTCGTGCCCCGAAGAGCAAACCTCAGGGGAGACCACATCTCTACTCCCGCCCGGCCTTGCCTTGCCGCAGAGCTGGAAACAGTGAGAGCTGTGCTGGTGGCAGGAGTCCGGGCCCTGGGGACCGGGTGGGAAAGTGCTGGTCTCAGGCTGCTGCTGTCCTGTCCCCGGAGGCCCCAGGCCCGTCTCCTCCCCCGCCTCTGGCAGTGCAGAGGATGGCGGAGAACAGCCCTTGGCGGCAGCAGGTCCCTCACTCACACTTTTTATACATTTTACAAATTATTTCTTAACCCCCACCCCCCCGACCAAGAAGCTGATTGGCCAGTTCTCCTTGTTGAGCGTGAAAGCAGATCAGTGTTTCTGCAGGGATCCTGAGGCCTCCTGTGTGCCAGGCACAAGGTGGATGGGGCCCCAGGCCCCGCGCACTTAGAGCTTTCTGCCCAGTGGGGAGTGGGGCCGCAGACCAGTGAGTGTGGGCACAAGCCCGTGAGATCAGGGCCCTGGTGGGGCCGCAGAGATGCTGAGCAGGTGCTGGGGAGGAGGCGTGGGGGCGTAGGGGGCGTAGGGGGGTTAGGGGGTGGGTCTCACTTTGGGCTGGATGCTCTGAGAAGTCTCCGGTGAGGAGGCACCATTGAGCTCAGGTGTAACTGGCCTCTTGAGAAAAGCAGGGAACAGCATTTGTAGCAGAGGGAACAGTTCTTGCAAAGGCACAGGGGGGCAGAGCATGGTGACATGTGTGACCTTGGGAGCCCCTGATGTGCCCTGGGCCAGAGAATTGGGGGGGTGAGCTGTGCAATCTGCGGACTCCACACCCCAGGCCCCTTCCGCACTGTGCTGCAGGTGAGTGATCTGTAACCTCATCAGGATGCCGTAGGGTCCCCGCAGGTGCATTGAAGGCCTGTAGGTTAATGCCTGGGGTCCTCACTTGGGGGCCCTTTATGAGGCATTTGGAAATCCGGCTACATTTCATTTATTCTAAACCACTCGTCCCCTCACAGTGTGGGATATTAGTTTTTTCAGTATCTCGGATCCCCGATCTCACAGGCACTTAGCACGAGATGAAGTGAAATCTAAAGGTGGTTTAAAGAAACAAGATTAACCGAGGCCCGGGCCGGGCGAGCACGGGCAGCATCCCGGGGATGGCTCCCAGACTCGGTGGTCTGGGAAGTGGCCCCCGAGCTGGAACCTGCTCTGGGCTTTGAGGGAGGGGGCTTCGGTGGTGGGGGCCAGTCCCCTGAGAGGCGGACAGCAGATCCTCACGGCTGCCTCTTGGGGTCGTTGAGAGGCTCAGGAGTCAGGGCAGGTGATGTTCTGTGTGAGCCGCACCACAGTGAGCACCACCCAACGGGGTCCCCTGGGTGCTGTTCACCCCTGCTGTTGGACCAGATGGCGGCTTCTCCACTCACCCCTCCCAAAGTCAGAGTTCAAGTTCTCTGCTCCGTGCACACTTCTGGCACCTGGAGATTGGACCTAAGGAAGGATATCACATTCCCTTTGCCCAGAAATGTCTTCCTCCTGGTGGTGTTTGGGTTCCCTGTTGGTGCTTGGCTCTCTCGGTGTGAACACCTGCAGGGAAGCCAGCCCTGAAATTCGAGCGCGGTCTGGGTTTCCCCTTTAGTTCTGGGTCATTCCACTCACCCATTTAGATGTGCTCATTGTCCGGCTCCCCTGTGCCTGCTACAAAGTAGATGCTCAGTAAATGCTTTATTAGTTCTAATCATTTGAACAGCCCCGTTATCACCACCTGCTCCCCACTAGAGCTCCCTAGATCCTGGAGGGAGGAGGCCTGGGTTGGTTCTGCTCCCCAGGGATGCCCCAGCGCCTGCCCTGCACTGGGCACGTAGTAAGTGCTCAGTAAAGATTTGTAAATAAATAACTTCATTGCCATCACCTGTTTGTCCTCTGCCGCTAGCCGTTAAGCTCCGACGGGAGGGCCGGCTCTGTTCTGTGTCCCCCACTGTGGCCCTCGGCAGGCATTTGGAAACCAGGTTCTGTTGTAGGCAAATAGTTTTCTGGAAAGATAACGAAGAGGAGACTGTGCAGCAGAGTGAGCCCCCTGCCTCATGCTTGGGGGCGAGCTGCCCGGAGGCTTTGAGGAGAACTGGCTCCATAGGGTCGGTGTGTGTGTGTGGGGGGGGGCGCTGGCCCCTCCCTCCCTGTTTGGTGACATCTTTGAAAGCTTTAACCTGGGGTTTTATTGGAGAAACCTCTGGTGGGGCGGGAGACTGTTCTGTGAGCAGAAGTCAAGAGCCGCCAGGATGTATTGAGCAAAAGATAAGTCAAGAGCCGCCAGGATGTATTGAGCAAAAGATAACAGGACCCGCAGAAAAGTGCCCCAGGGTTCTGGGGGCGGAGAGATGATGCGCTCCTGGGCCGGGAAGTTAAGGAGCTTTAGGCTGAGGGTCAATGGGCAGGAAGTCCGCTTAGGGAAGGGTTATCCAGGTGTTGCTCTTCAGCTGAATCACAGGAATGACAGCTCAAGCCGTCCGCAGAATGTGCTCTCCTGGGTGAGCGTCTCTGCAGCACTGTGCAGACCGTGTAGTGGGAAAGCTTGGGGTCCCTGGCCAGCACCCAGCCCAGCAGCCCCCCCCCATCACCTGCTGTAAGCTAGATGCTCACCTGCGTGTCTGTGTGTTGTGCAGCGCTGGAGAAGAAGATGACCGGCAGGCAAGGTCGGGAGGAGCTCATCAAGAAGGGTCTGCTGGAGATGATGGAGCGGGGTAAGTGGGGCCACCACCCTGCAGATGATGGAACGGGGTAAGCAGGGCCACCACCCTGCAGATGATGGGGCGGGGTAAGTGGGGCCACCACCCTGCAGATGACGGAGCGGGGTCAGTAGGGCTGGCACCCTGCAGATGATGGAGTGGGGTAAGCAGGGCCACTACCCTACAGATGATGGAGTGGGGTCAGCGGGGCCCACAGAGGGTGGAGTGGCGATCGCGACAGCGGGTCTGGCCCTGGGGAGGCCTCCGTGGTGGCTGGTTCCCCGCAGGCCCATCCTGAGGCTCCGGGCCGCCTCTGCCCCAGAGCACAGAGCTAGGAGCCCTCATCTGTCGACGGTGGCCAAAGACTTCTTGCTGTGGCGGGGCCGGGGTGGGCTGGCCTCCGTCCTGCTTCCCCTGACTACATGGTGGCATCAGCTTCTGTTTCACGTCTCCACCATTATCCGTGATTGGGGCAGGTTACGTTTACCCACGCGGCCGTCTAGTACCGCTGCCAGCCCTTCTGGGCGCTGACCCGCCTCACCCCTTCCCTGTGCTCCCGCCCCCCACCCCAGGCACCCCCACCGCGCGTCCTTGAGAAACACTGGCTGTTGCTGCCCACGGTTCATTCAGAGAGTTCTGGAGCTCCCCACCTGGTCTTGGCCTGTGCGTGACGACGGGGCACAGACGCGGGTCCCGATGCGCACCTTCCATCCTCCCGTCTCTGAGACGCGGGGGGCAGCAGACCTGGCCGCCCGGGGACCTCCCTCTGTAGCCGGGCCACGCTCTTGCCTCCTGATGGAAGGGGCCTGGCCTGGGGGGCGGCTCCCCGAGGCTGTGGGGGTGTGTGGAGCCCCTGCCCCGTTGCCATGGTCCCTGTCCTTTGGCTCAGGCATCAGGACCAGGATGCGCAGCAGGTCTGCCCCCCGCCGGCCCGGCCGCTCTCCAGCCCAGGGTGCTCTCCGCCCTCGTTGCTCTTCAGCTTGGGAGGGGAGCGCGGTGACGGGCCGTGGTGGTGGGAAGTCGGCACGAGGAGCTGCCCACGCCCGTGACGGAACCTGGCAGCCCGTCCTGCGGTGTTGGGGTGTTGACGTCCGACTCTCAGAACTGGGGGATTGTCACCTGGACTGTTTCATCGGGATGGGACAAAGCAGCTCCGACTCTGCATTTTGAATGTCACCAGCAAACCTTCCTTTGGAGCTTGGGGAAGGGGAAGGGACGATAGCCCCGCATCCAGCCTGCTTGTCCTCTGTCCTAGAAATTCTTATCACCTGTGAATGAAGAGGAAGCGAAGATGTGGATTTGATTCCTGTCAGAAAAATAGAGGCGGGTGCAGAACTAAAGGGGGGGGTCTTCCGAGGAGGGCTCTGCTTTAACTCAGCTCTGAACCGTTGTGCAACGTGTCATCTGAGGGACCCAAGGGCCACAGGGAGCAGGTGGTGTCCGGCGCTGGCCCCCAGCGTGCCGTCACCAACCCCCACGTTAGGTCACACTCCGGCCAGCCGAGTGAGGACGAGCCGGGAGCAGGTGGGTCCCACACACACAGTCCTTCCTCGGGAGTTGAAAATGCGCTCGCCGACTGATGCCCCCGGAGGTGATCCCACAGATGCACATGAAGTCAGCTGCGCTGAGTGCAGTGGCACCCAAAGAACGGGACACGGGCCTGGCCCGGACAGCGGGGGAGGTCTCAATGGGAGCCCGGGCGGTGGTGGAGCAGGCTGGTCCTTACAGCCTCTGGGAGGGCCCTGGGGTCAGGGGGCGGAGGGGGCACGCTTGTGTTCTGCGGAGCTTTCCTATGTGTGCAGGGACCGTGGGATCTAGGACGGGTTGGCAGCAGGCCCCTGGGGTCAGTACTGCCCTGCGGTAGCACCCCAGGCCCCTTGCTTCGAAAATGCCTTTTCCTGCTGGGGGCCAAGGCCAGCCCCAGCCAGGCCATGTGCGTCCCTGGCGTCCTGGTGTTGGGATAACCCGCGTTCCTGCCCGTTGCCAGGCGTCCTTGAAGGGGTGTGGAGCTGCCCCCTCCCCTCCTGTGGCCTCTGTCTGGCGTAGGGGTCAGGGTGAGTCCCCCTCCCAGGTTTGGCTAAAGGACTCCTCCCCTGCTGCCACCTGTTCCCAGCCAGGCCACGTGTCTGCAGCTGGAGCGCCTCCCCGTGGCCGGCTGCACCTGCGCCTTCACACCTGGCGGGCGCCTGGGTGCTGGGTGTGGGTGACAGGGCCCCGGGCCCCAGAGAGGCCCCCACGGGCTCAAGCACGGGCCCTGCAGAGCTGCCCCAGACCTCACCCTTGAGCTTCACGAGCAGGACAAACCCACGTGGACACATGCCTGCCCCCACAGCTGTCACCTGGGAGTTGGCCCACAGGGCAGTCAGCAGCATGAGGGTGCGAGCCGGCTCCCGGGCAGGGCCTGCGGGAGAGAGCCCGAGAGTCCCCGGGGGGTGTTTTGTGATCCTATTAGCCTGCGCGTTTCTGAGCAGCCTGACCCAGCTCCTCTTTTCATTCCCAAAAGTCAGGCAACCTTCTGGAACTTGGGAGGGACCCGTGGGTGCTGCTAAGGAACGCAGGACGTGGACTGGGCTGGAGGCGGGGGAGGTGCCCCGTCCCCCACTCTGTCTTCCCTGCTTTGGCCACGCTCCTGTGACTCACCAGGTGACAGGTGAGGGCCAGCCAGCATCCCGGCCCCTCCACTCCCTCCCTCGCCCGAAGCAGCAGGTAAGGACAGGAGCCTACACATCATCCCTGTATGTGGCCACTCGGCCTTTTTTCAACTGAAGGAATTTCATACTCTACCATGGGGTAGAAGAAGGACATCCTTGTCACCCTGGTGCAGTGTTCAGTGACCTGAGAGCCACAGGGTTTCCTTCCCCGGGGGGCACTGGGCAGTGACACGTTGTCAGGTGTGTCTGGTTTCCCTGTGGCAGGAACGTGGGGCAGCGTGTGCGTGTGCCTGCATGTGTGTGCACACGGGGTGTGTGCGTGTTGGGGGCACGCTCCCTGTCCCCGCGACTGCTCCGCTGTGTCTCCCCCCACAGCCCTGGGGGGAGGGGGATGGGCATCCAATGGAGACCGGGCCAGGAGGGAGGGCTGGCTGAGCAGCGAGGCTCAGGGGACAGCCACCCACAGCTCCCCCCGCCCCAGCCAGCGTCTCTTAGCAACGGCCCTGCCACCAGCGCTATTTTGGGAACTGTAACTTTCATTGAACATGATTCTGAACCGGAGCTCGGAGCACAGCCCGGGAGAGTCCTGCAAGTGCCCGGAGCTGGGCCGCAGGTGGCGGAGGCCTCCAGCTGCATGTCGGGTGGAGCCTCTGCTGAGCCGGCTCCGGGCCGCGGACCCTCAGTGTTGTGACCACTTTACTGTCGCTGATGATGATGGGGGGAGGGGGGCTATTGTTCCAAACAACAGCGTCCGTCACGGGCAGCACATGGCCTGTCCTTCCTGAGAATGGGTGTCCGCCTCTGCAGGCGGCGGGCCGCAGCCTCACCCGGCCGAGTTGTAGCGTTCAGCTGGCACGATGCTGCAGGGGCCCAGCCGCGTCTCTGGCAGGGCGCAGCTTCCCCTCCAGGCTGGCTGTCCTCTGCCCCCGGGGACCGAGGAAGCTGGTGGCAGGGACCATCACAACCGTATGTCAAGTACAGGTGAACCCGTCCTGAGCAAGGGCTCGAGAAAGCACGCTTTTGAGCTGGAGCTTTGTGACACTTCATCGTATCCACTGGACGTATCCCCAGCTTGCATCTGGGGCTTTTCCTGGGTCGGGGTTGGTAGGCGGACCGTGGCGGCAAGTCTGCGGGTCAGAGCTGGTCCAGGACGAGTTTTTGTAACGCCCTTGGGCTGAGTATGGTTTTTAAACTTAAAACTGTTTTTTCGTAAAAATAAAAAAAATCAAAGAATCGCAGTATGGGCCCTGTGGCATGTGGCCCACAAAGTCTAGAATATTGGTCACCTGCTCGTTTGGATCCTCTGGTCAGGTGACACGGCTGCACAGGTGACACCTTCCCAGCCCCAGCTCTCCAGACCTCAGCCTGGCTGACCTTTCTGCCCTCCCCGGGAATAGGTGGCCGAGGTTACAACTCCTGTCCCTGGGGGGGTCACATGCCGTGGGCTGGGCCCAGGTCCTGGGTGCAGTGAGCACCCAGCCTGTTGCTCTCACGTGGGCACATGTGTCCACTCACGGGGCCGGACTATCCGTCATCCTCGTCAGACCTCGTCAACAGTAGTAATGATCATTGCAGGCACGTGTGAAGGGCCTGCTTCTTGGCAGGGGCATTGTGTAGATTAACTCATTGAATTCCCGCGTGGATGCCACGGAGCCCCTAGTGACATCATCATCCCCGTGGTAGGGGCGAGGAGACTGAAGCCAGAGACGTCTGCCATGGGATGGGATGTGTGGGCAGGGTCCATTCTTGTCCAACCAGGGCACTTCTGGGGGTGAAAGGGGCCTTGTTGGAGGACAGGAGGGCGGCAGGTGGGAGTTGAGGCTGGCCCAGATGAAGGGAGCCCTGACCCTGAGATCGACCACCCGCACACCCCCCCCCCCCCCCAGGGATGGGAGGCAGCTCTCCTGAGCCAGGCTGGGGACCCACACTGCCGTGTGCACGTGTGCAGGTCACGCTGCCGCTCTGCACGTGGTGACCACCTGGTGACCCAGGCACACTGGCTGTGGGACCTGAGGGGCCCTTGCAGGGGCTCCATGCCCTGGTCTGCATCTCAGAGGGGTGATCGTTATCCGTTGGCTGTGACTCTCAGCTCCGACCTGCCATCTGGTGGCCGTGTGACTGGACCCGTTCATTATGCTCCTGACCACCAAGCCTCTCTTTGGCAAAATACAATCCTGGAGGTGATCAGTCAGTCCCAAGCCAGACCCTCAAAGGTTCCAGCTGAGCCCCAAGCAAGGAGAGGCACTGAGTCCTCCTTTCAGCCCTATTAGGAGCCTGGGGTCACTTTTTTCTGAGGAGGCCACCTGTCTCGAGCTGCTCTGAGCCCCCTCGGTCCTTGGCTGTGCTCCTATCCCTGGGCCTGCAGCACCTGAGAGTGTGAGCCAGCTGGGGGAAGGAATCGACTCTTCTTATTCCCTGGGGTGGGTGGCAGAGAATGGTTTGCATCCTAGGGGATCGATGGTGCAGCAGTGGGCACGGAAGCAGGTTGGTTACCTGTATCCACGAGAATGTCTCGTACCAAACACCTGCAGTGCCTCGAGCGGTCGTTGTTTGTCATCCGGTCTGGGCTGGCCTTGCTGGTGGGACAGGAGCAGCTCTGTTTTGTACCATCTGCCTCTCGTCCCCTAGCCTGCTGGCCAGGTGCATCCTAGCAGTGAGGCAGGTGTTGGCTCGATGGTAGGGAGGGTGTGAGCACTCTTGAAGGCATTGCTGCTTCAAGCCTGCTGAGGCCCTGTTGGCCAATGCAAGCCATGGGCAGAGGCCATCGTGGGAATGGGGGGCACTGCCGGGTACTGATGTGGGTGGCACAGTCCCCCACAGGTGGGTGCTGTACAGAGGCCAGGGGGCTGGCGCAGTAGCAGCCTCCTTAGGACGAGCTTCCTTAGGAATACTGGATGTGGAGAGGGACTCCCAGGAGGTGTGGGGAGGAGACACCGGGGTGTCCTGCTCGGGCCTGGGATGGCACGCTTCCCAGGGAGGCACCTCACGTGAACGAAAGCACGGAGGAAGGGAGATGTGGGCCCAGCTGACACCTGGATTTCCTTGCAGATGCTGAAAGCAAAGCCTGCGCCCCTGACGGAGGGCCCCGAGCCACGCAGAGTGAGCCATCCACCCCCAAGCAGGAGACGCTGACTTCAGAAGAAGCCCCACCAGGAAGCCCTTTGGCCACTGGGACAGACCAGTCTTCCCTGGATGAGCCGCTGTCCTTGGACTCCCGTTCTGACGATGCAGGTACTGGCCGTAGGCCGTGCAGGGCTGAGCCGCTGCCAGGAGGGCCATTGGCCTGGGGCCCCCCACCCCACCCCACGCCCCCACCCTCCCAGCCCCGTAGTATCCTGTCCTCAGAGGCACAGCCGTGCTCTGGGCTCCGAGCCCTGCCATGCTTTCCTGTGTGGTTGGGTTTCAACATTGGCCAGAGCGTTTTTCTCTACTGTCTCTTCCCAAGCTTGGCACAGCGAGGAGGTGTAGGTGTTGAGGATGTTCCCAGGTGGCCTTCCCATGTGCATTCCTCCTGGGACATTTTTGCCTGCCTCCGGGAACTTCTGAGCAGGAAGATTCTCTCCAAGGGAGCCAGTGTCCTGTGGGAGTGGCTTAGTTGAGCCCAGAACCGTAGGGCAGGATGAGGAAGAAGGACCTTCCTCGTGGCCTAAATCATCAGCAGGTGGCTGCCTCGGTGCCCGGAGCCTCCAGGTGCTGGCCGGGGTGCTAAGTGCCATGCTCCTCATGTGCAGGGCTCTCTTCATCACCTCTCCATCAGGTGTGCTGGATGAGCTGCTCAAAGCCTCATTTCCAGCCTCCTTTCCTGGTCAGGGTTGTTTGAAGGGAGGAGGAGCTTAGTGCAGTGTGTGCTGCCCTGGGTCGTTGTCGGGGTCGGTGGGGGCCGTGGTGCTGGTGGTGGTTTTATTTGACTAGACCGGGGCAGGTGCCAGCTGAGGCAAAGGTGGGGAGAAAAGGAAACCAGACATGAACCCACCAAAGGAGCTTGTGAGTGCTTTGAAATATCCACCCCCTCTTCTGGCCCGTTAGCAAGTGTTCCTATGGAAATATTCAGGGGGGCCTCACTGTCGAGTTGGAAGCTCTTTCCCTCGTAAAATTTGCTAGCTATGAATACATCAGGCACGGTGTGGGGGCTAGAGGTCAAATGGTCCCCACAAGTGTGGGAGGTTGGACATCCAGGCCACGTGGAGGGGTGTGCCGGGCTCCCGTGGCTGGTGGGTTCTGGGCTTCAGAGCCAGGGGGGCATCTGTTCTCTGTGACCTACTGCCGAACACGACTCGCACCTCTGCCTTTCGCCAGCTGTCCCGGCCAGTGAAATCCCTCCAGGCCCCTGCTGAGAGGTAGGCTCTGCCCTAGGTCCTGGGGGTGGCTGGACCTCTCCGGTTTCACCGCAGCTTAGGGATGTGGTAGGAGTTTAGGTCTGAAGGTTTGTCACCCTTGGATGGTCCCAGTGTGCCCAGGGTGGACTTCATCAGGGTGGTGCTTGGTGCGATTCCACCCGTGGTCCTTGCAGGTGAGCCCGCCCTTGGCCACGGAGCCTCCTGCTCTGCCGGGCTGCTGCAGGCAGCTCCCCTGCTGGGGCCTGGCGCTTCTCCGCGGCAGGCTCCTTCTGCTTGCTCAGCTCTGAGGAGCGTGCATGCTCCCATCAGCGGCCCCACTAACCTCAGGTGCTCTTTCTCTACGTGCTTGGTTTAGGGATGGGTTCTTGAGAGCGGAGTTGGTCTGTTGAGACCACAGGTTTCTGTTAAGGACTTGCTCCTGGGCAGGATGTGCTGGTGGGTCGGGGGTCATAATGGCAAACGTGTCTGGGTCCCGTCCTCCCAGACTGATGGGAGAAGGTGAGCAGACTTGCCGACCCCCTTGAGCTAAAAGCACATGATGATGAGTGTGCATCCTCGGGCTCCTCCCTGAGCCTGGGGGCTGGGGCAGTCCGGGGGCGAATAGTTGGCCAGGTAGACAGCGAGGGAAAGAGCCTCTGGGATGCAGGAAAACATTTGCAAAGAGTGGGAAACAAGGTCCACAGGCTTCTTCTGCACGGAGCCAGCTGACTGTTGTTGCCTTTGTGGGTCAGAAGGTTCCTGATGGTGAGCACCACTGAGCTCCACGGGGTGGCCCAAAAGCAGCCACAGAAGTGCTTGCGAGAGCACGTGGCTATGTGCCCACAAACCTAATTTACAAAAGCAGCCTCTGGGCTGGGTTTCTGCGGGCTGTGGTTGGCCAGGGAGCAGAGCAGACATGGGACTTTCACAGAGTGAAAGGTGTGTATGTGTGGCCAGAGCCAAGGCAAGCTGGGGGGGGGGGGGCGGAGGGCCCTTGGGACCTGGGGATGACAGGAGAGGGATGGAGGGGGAGCCGTGGTGGATTTGTGCTGTAGGAGGAGCACCGGGCTGCGGGGTGAGGCCTGGGGAGCAAGCGAGACCACTGTCCCTGGTCCATGTGAGCCCGCGGCAATGGCACCTCCTCCATCAGCCGGCGTGGGTACCGTGTCCCTGAGGTGTGAGAGAGGAGTTGACATAAGGTGGCATGTGGCAGATCTCTAGAAACCTTTTTAACGGCGATGTTTATTTTCATTAGCAAAAGAGGAATGGGTTTCCCGTTGAGGGCAGCGGAAGGATTTTCTCCTCCTAGTCAGCAAGTTAAAAGGAAAAGTGTGCATTCACGTAAAAGAAAGGGCAGTGAACCAAAGTACAGGAACGTGGAGAAAAGTCTGAAACCTTTAACGGAGGCCGGTCGTGGGCGGCGTGCCGTTCCCAGCACCACACCTGCATTAGCTCGTTCAGCCCAGGGAAGGCCCCTAGGATATCAGCACTGCTGTTTCCCTCTTTCCTTCAAGGCGAGAGGGACGTGCAGAGGTTCTGTAACTCAACCGAGGGTACAGAATTAGGGGATTCTGAGCAACGTGTTTGACATCAGCCGAGCCCAGCTTTGATACGTGGCTGAACTGTCAGCCCAGCTGTGTGACGGCAGAGAAGTCGCTCAGCCTCTCTGAGCCTGCGTTCTCAATGCTGAGGATCACGCCATACCATCCCTCAGGGGTGCTGAATTAGGTAATTCCCAGGAATCCCGTAACGCCACCCTGACGTGCCCCGAGTACTCCATAAGTGTTTGCTGCTGGCGATGGTTCCCATTGTCCTCACGGTAAAAGCATCTCTTGGGCCCTAATGCATTTAACACGCAGGATCCAGGCCTACAGATGCCCCAGAGGCCCTGCCTCTGACACACATGTGTTTTGGGATGTGGATCTGCATTTTGCTACTGAGTCAGGACACTGCTGGGATCTCTGGCAGCCCTGCAGGCCTGGAATCCTGCGCCGGGAATGCTGGCCACCACTGTGACCCCAGATCTCTGTCGGGAAGGCTTGAGCAAAGCCCTTCAGTGAGGGGACGCATTATAACCTAACAGCACTTAAACCCACTGCTTGAAAAATTGCCAGTCCACATTTGAGAATGAGGAGCTTCCATAAGAACTTCTTGGGCAGCTAGCTGCTTCCCAGCTTCAAAGCTGGGGCCCCACCCCCTGGTGACCTCTTTGTGGGCTGCAGCGTTACATGGTGAATGCCATGTCCCCCACCACCCGTGGCCTCCCTTTCCGTGGGTTCAGTTCCCCGCCAGCACCTGCGGCCTGGAAGCAGACGCTCCTCCTGACGTGCCGTCAGAGGGTCAGCGGTGGGCTAGCGCCATCCGCTCCCTGTGTCTCCTCACGTAGGCTCCTATCCTGTCCCGTTCCGAGGAGGGTGAGTACAGCACGATACGCTGCCTGGAGAGAGCGACCTCAGTCACAAAACCTTTACGAGTGTACGTTGTTGTCATTGTTCTTGTTCATCTCTCGCTGTGCTGGATCTGTAAGCCGCACGTCTTCATAGACGGGCACGCAGAGGAGAAGACCCAGGGCCTGTCCGGTTTGGTGCTGCCCATGAGTCCAGGTATCCTTTGGGGTCCTGGAACGTATCTCCTGTCGATAACGGCAGGTGGGGGGGGGGGCTGCTGTAGTTAAAGCGTGACGGGATCCTGGGTCTGTAGGGTCTGGTAATCTGACTCTGTTCACCTCTCATTCTTATCTCCGCACTCTGCAGCTCAGCACCCAAGGGACGCGGGCCCATCCGTCTGTGCTGTCAAGAGTGCATAACAGAGAAAGCTGGATTGATTGATTGATTGATTGATTGATTGATTTGAAAGCTGGATTCTAAGTGGCAACTTTGTCAGGGGAGTGCTTGAGCCTCGGGGAGTGCCTGCCTAGGTTCTCTTCTTGGCCCCAGGAAGTTCATGGAAAAGTCCAGGGGCCCGGAATGGGATGACCTTGTGTCCCGGGAGGGAATCCCCTGGAGACGTCCTCTGTGGTCTGCTGTATGTTCTGGGAGATTAGCTACTTCTTCTTAAAAAGGAGGCTTCGTGCAAACTTTGCTGGGGGAGAGGGAGGGACCACATGTCCATGTGCATCAAGAAGCTCCTAGCTTCAGAGGACACCGCTGCTTGGCCAGGTGGGGCTGCAGCTTCCACAGACTGCGGTGTGTGTTTGGAGGGGAGAAGAGGGAGTTCTAGCCAAAGACACCAGGAATGTCTTAGGAAAAGAATGCTGTCAGAGATTCCGGCCGTTGTTTTCTTTGACTCTCTGAGTTGGGCGGTTAGGGTTGACTTTGAACCCTTGTAGGTGGGGTGATTTTGTTTTTCCTGGTTTAATTTGGATAGTGCTACACCAGCTACATAGAATTCCCTAAAAAGCCCAGAAGGATCTGTTGTTTTAACTTTAAATGGGATGGATGGGTGTTCATTGTCGGTGCTGCTGGGCAGGGGCTGAGCTCTGCTGTTCCCATAAGTGCGCTAATTAAAAGGCAAGCGGCATTCAGTAAGCATGTACTGTGTTCATTGTATTTTTCTTAACAGCCCTATTTTTTTTTTAAGCTGAGAAAGCAGAGGCCCAGAGAGATTGTTGCTTATCATCCGAGGCCCCAGAGCCCAGAAGTGGTAAGCTGGAATTGGATCCCCAGACATGCTTTTAACCGTAATACTCTACGGCCTAAACTAGTGGCAAGCAGGGGGTACACCTTCATTCTGCTTCTGGAATGCTCTGGAATGTGGGTTGTTTCGAAGTAGAAGAGAGGATGGCGAACTGCAGGCTATAGGTCCGACCTGGGTGCACCTGTGTACGCACGCCGTTGCTTCTGTGTCACCTGAGCCCTACGTTGAGGTTTGCAAGGTGACATAGGCCCCTTGGCTGAGAATTCAGCTGGTGAGCAGCGACCTCTGCTGGCCAGCGGAGCGCACGAACCGCCCCCCCGGGGGGAGGATCTCAAATGTGGGGAACATGTCAAGCCCACACTGTTTTCTACATTTTTATTTTATTTTATTTTATTTTATTTTATTTTATTTTATTTTATTTAATTTTTAATTTTTATTTATTTATGATAGTTACAGAGAGAGAGAGAGAGAGAGAGAGAGAGAGGCGCAGAGACACAGGCAAAGGGAGAAGCAGGCTCCATGCACCGGGAGCCCGATGTGGGATTCGATCCTGGGTCTCCAGGATCGCGCCCTGGGCCAAAGGCAGGCGCCAAACCGCTGCGCCACCCAGGGATCCCTTCTACATTTTTAATGGGTGTTAACGTTTTAATTTTTGGCAAGATTCCAAACTACAGTGGTAGCTACACACTCACATGAGCTGTAGAGGAAGATGCAGGCTGGAAGAGCTGTTGAAGCACCGCATTCCCAGCCTCAGGGACCCCAGGTCCCCTAGGTCAAGGACCTAGGTGTCCGTGTGTGACGAGCTTGGGTGAGTTTTGCCGGTAGCTGTTGGAGCAGATTTTGCTGAGACCTGCCTGTGTGTTGAGTCCTGGGGCTCTGAGAGCAGAGGTGGGGGGCCTGCATTCCACCTTGGGCTGGAGGGGAGAGGGGACGGCTGTGGGGCTGTTAGAAGCTTACCTTACAGCCTGTGGTCGAGGAGGTGTGAGCTGTGACCACTGACTTACCCCCAGAAGCGTGCAGCTGCCCTGTCCAGCGCAGCACTCACTAGCTGCACGGCTACTTAATTAACTAAATGAAATTTTAAAAAATTCAGCTTCCCAGTCACGCTGGCCACCTGTCAGTTGCTCATTGGCCACACGTGGCTGGTCGCCTACTGAAATGGACAGGGAGGAAGCCTTTCCAGCATCTCTGAAAATTCTGTTGGACAGCACTGGGCATGAGAGGTGGCACACATCCACTTTGGGGCACGTCCACTTTGGGCACAGGCAGGGAAGTTTTGCTGTTTGAACTGGCCAGCCTTCTGGAGCTCGCTGCACCAACAGAGATGCTCGGACCTACAAAACCCTTTATAGAAAAAGTCTGCCAACCGCTGGTTGAGAGAATGGATTTGGGGCAGGGGGTGTGGTAGGGAGGGAAGGAATCTGGAGGCCATTGCTGAGGTCCAGGCAGAGGCCATGGCAGCTTGCACGGGGAGGCCAAGTGGACTTTGCTGGCTGAGAAATGTTTGGGATGTGGAGCAAATGGTATTTATCTGGGAATTACATATAGAGGACAAGGTACGGGGTGTCCAGTCTGGCTGCACAGCTGGAGAGCTGTATAGGAAGCGTGGTGAGGGTGGGGATCTGTCTGGTTTGATGCTGGGTCTGTGGCTCCTGGAGGGGTGTCTGGACCGCATAACTGTTCCGGGACATTTGCAAGATGGGTTGGCGGATGGATGGATGAGTGTGAGGGAGGAGGTGACGGGGGAGGGCTTTCCCCTGGGAAATCAGGAGATGGCTTTGGGAATGTTTCATTTTGTCCTCCTGACCTCCAGATGGAGATGTCACAGTGGCCGATAACGTATGGGTCTGGAGCTTGGAGAGAAGGTCAAGGGTCAACAGAGATAGGATTGATTCTGAAGCCAGAGGACTGGATGGGAGAGTCAGAGCTGTGGACTGAGGGCTGGGTCCTGGGCAGCCCATGTACAGCTGGCGAGAGGCCGAGCAGGTGCGGCCAGTGTGACAGGAGGGAACTAGGGAACAGGTGTCTGGAAGCTGAAGAGGAGCATGTTGAAGCGAGACAGGACTGCTGAGACAGAGCAAGTGGACCTGCCATGGCTGACGTGGGTGTGGGGACCTTGATCTGGGCTGCCCCGTCCCCCCATTAACCTATCCCTTGGCAGCACAGCCAAGGGACCCCGTGGAGTCCAGGTCCTACACTGCTCATCTTGTCCAGACCCCCAGGACCTGGAGGGAGAGACTGGCCTGTTTGTGTTTGCACCTTGCAGGACCCAGGCTTGTGCCCTGAGAGTGCCCCAGCCGTGGGGTTAGCCATGGACGGTAAACAGACAGAAATGGTAATAACATGGGGTCTGCAGGATGTGCAGCACCTGCTTCTCCAGTTTCTTTGAAGTTCTCCAAGGGCAGGTATCAGGCCAGCACCGCGGACAGCGCCCACCCAGCAGGCCCTCCAGAACCTTCCCCATGGTGAATCCCGTGCCAGGACTTCAGGACCAGCTCTGCCAAGCTGTTCCTCATGGGTGTTTGTATCTTCCTCCTCAGCTGGTTGTAAAAAATAAGATGAGATGTGCAGCAGGCACCTGGCACCATACTGGGCACCTGGGGCATGCTCCGAGAGGGCAGGGAGTGCTGGGATCCCAGGTGGGCATGGGGAGGGGACCCACCTCTCGTATCAGGGAGGGGGAAGGGAAGATGAGGTTTTAGGGATAGTTGTGTTTGAGTCAGGCATCCAAGAAGTGTGCCCCCACCCACCTGGAGGCCTCAGTTTCCCCTGGCAGTGAGGCTGCATGAGAGGAGGGAGGTGAGGAGCTGGAGGCGGGAGTTTGAGGCACGCTGAGGGCCCTGACCGTGGCAGTCCTGAGGTGGCTTCTGCTGGGGCTCCTGTGCCAGCATCTTTCTCCCGCAGCCCTCACGGGGTGGGGACTGGTGGGCAGAGGCCTCACCAGGGAGCCAAGTGGAAAGGAAGTGGGCAGAGGACTTGGGGGTGTCAGTGGGCTGGGTGATGCAGTGACGATCAGTAGAACTTGAGCTGGAGGAAGGGAGAAGTGAACGGGGAGGGTGCTCACGGATTGGGAGAGGGCCGAGGGGTCGACAGGCTCGGGGATGGTGCTCAGGGGGCAGCAGGAAGGAGAAGGGACGCGGGCTCTGGGCAGACTGACCCTTCCTCAAAGCTGGACCTCCTGCCTCCCACGCCACTTGGTGGGGCCCCCGGGCCAGGGGCCGGGGCTGTGGGAAACCAGACCCATAAAGTCAATAGCTGCTGAGTTTGAGGGTCTGCAGGGGCCAGACACACACCTCGTTGTTACTTCCTGCTTAAACCAGCCATCCTGTGAGGGACTGTTGGTGGTTGTCAGGGGTCACATGCGGGTACATGGGGTACCGGAGTTTTAGGAACTTAACCAGGATCACAGTGCAGGGGCTGATGGGGCCTGGGCATGCGTCCATCCAGCACCTGTGATGGTGGCCGTCCCCAGGGCAGGTGGGGGCAGGAACTTTGGCACCACCTGCTGAGTGGGGGAAGGCTCTTGAGGTCGCTTCCTCCCCCCATCCTGTCCCTCCCTCTCGTCTCCACTTCTGACAGTTCCACTGACCTCTCAGCTCACAGGAAGTCAGGTCTGCATGCAAAGTGACCCCTCTCCTGTGAGCAGTCCCCCCTCCGCCAGCCCAAGCCCCCGTCCCGTCCTCACTCACATCACCCCAGTCGTGGGAGGGATGGCGTGTGAACTCTCTCCTTTGCCTTTGAACCAGCCAAGATGCCGTCAGCGTCCAGAGGTGAAGAAGCAGACGCCGCCGCCGGCAGCCTCCCGCCTACCACGGACGAACCCTCTCAAGCCTTAGCTGGGTCCGACTCCCCGGACAGTCCTCCCAGACCCCTGGAGAGGTCCGTGGGCCAGCTCCCCAGCCCCCCGCTCCTGCCCACCCCGCCGCCCAAGGCAGGCTCCAAAACCACGAAAAATGTCACAGGTGGGTCCGCGTGCACACGTCCTTCTGTTCATCGGTCCAGGCTCTCAACCCGATCTCAACCGATCTCAACCCGGGGCCCACCGTGGGCTGGTTCTCAGCCTGGGCTTCGGCAGCCAGGGCTCTGGGCAGGTGCAGGGCAGCAGTTCTTAGCAAGCAGCTCTGGTTGTCGGGAGCAGACCCCTGGGGCCCCCTCTAGCAGATGGGGCGGTCTGTTGGCCAGAGTCAGAGATGTCTTCCAGAACCTGAAGGCAGAAGATGCAGCCAGCCCCTGGGATGAGGACTTTGTCTGTCTGGATATTTGGGTGTCCTCTCTGTCTTCTCCTACTTTCCCTCTCCCCTTCCTTCCCCACTCTGCCCCTCCTCCCCCCAGTCTCTCTCTCATGGTCTCTGCTCATCTGTTTCCCTGCATCTCTCCAGTGAGCTCCATCCCTCGAGGCAGAGGTGGGTGGTCAGAGAGGGGAGCACGGCTGGGTGGGGGCCCCCAAAGGCCTCTGCTTCTGTAGCTTTGGCCTCACCGGCTGAGTAATCCCAAGATGTTGAAATGTTTACTTTTGGAGTTTGTGTTGTACTTGTCCCATTGCTGTTGGAAATGGGAGACACTGCTGGTCTCCAGGGCAGGAGGGAGGGTGCAGGCCCCTCAGTAAGAGGTGACTGTTTTGAAGACTAAATCCTCAGCTGCTGCCTCTGAGGGCAGGGGACATGAAGAGGATGTGGATGGCAGACCTGAGTGGCTTTGCTGGGAGCCCTCAAACACCACCCCCAATACTGCTCCGTCCCTCTTGTTGAGCCACAAGGAGGCCTGGGGACACACCATTTGTTCCTAATGCACAAACCAGTCCCTCTGGGAGGGGACATGTGCCCGATTCACAGTTGAAAAGACTGTGGCTTAGGGGGCCCCAGCAACAGATCCTACAGCTAATGGAGACCTGACCCCAGTTCTGGGCCTGAGGCTTATAACCCTCCTCCCCTCACTGCTCTTTCTGCAAAAACCTTCTTCCCCTTTCTTCACTTGGTCAGCCCCTTTGCATCTCTGTCCCTACTTTAGGGGAGCCAATCCCATAGCAACATGCATCTTGCCTTCTGGTACGTGTCACATCACTTCCCCTTACCCAGTGAGTTGAATGGTGTCGCCTGAAGATGCACGTCTACCCAGAACCTCAGAACATGGCCTTCTTTGGCACGGGGTCTTTGCAGACACAATTCCATCAGGATCAAGGTGAAATCCTCCTGCCATAGGGTGGGTCCTAAATCCAATAAGAATGTCCTTCCGAGAGACCGAGTTTGCAGTGACCTGCTTGCATGCCAAGGCCTGCCGAGGGTTGCCAGAGGCCACCAGGAGCTGGAGGGAAGCCTGGCATGTGTCTCTCTCAGCCCTCAGAAGGCTCCAGCCCTGCTGACACCTTGGTTTCAGACTTCTGACGTCAGCAACCATGAGAGAATGAAGTCCGGTTGTTCTGAGTCCCAGCTCGTGGGACTTTGGGACAGCAGCCTGGGACCCCACCGGATCCCAGTGCTGGCATACAGCAGTGCTCAGCGAGTGCATGCGGCTGTGATGGAAGGAGCAGGTGGGGGTCCTGAGCCAGGTTCCAGTCCCAGCTCCTGCTTCTAACCTCTGGAATGAGTCTAAGCCTGCAGTGTGCCCGTGACCTGGCTACACGGATAAGAGTCAAAGTTCTGAGGCGGAACCACACTGTCCTGTGTCTCCTTACTGTCTTGTGATAATTTTCTTCCCCGTCCGCGGAGACCTGGCACAATTGGAAATCGGATAGGCACCCCCCACCACGTTTCATTCGGGCTCCCGTGTAATTGGTTCTGGTCCCTGGATAACCCAGCAGCCCCGAGACGTCCTGCCTCCGCCACTCGGGACAGATCAGGCCTCAGGCTGCACGTGTCCCCGATGTGACTCTGCTGCTTGTTCACGGAGCCGAAATGCTCGGTCCCCAGGGCCTCAGGTTCGGCACCTCTGACTTCCACCCTCCCCTTTCAGGGGGCTCCAGAGCATCACGGGGGATTCGTCTGGGGACTGGATTAGGAGCGGGAGAGCTCAGGAGGGTGGCTTCGGTCTGGATCTCTTTTTAAAGAGCTGAGACCACATTTTGGTGACTTTTGTCTTAATTTTCTCCCTTCTCCCTCTTTTTCCTCCCCTTTTGCGGGAAACGTTGGCTTCAGCCTGTGAGCACTAGGTGGCAGCAGAGGCCCCGTACCTGAGCTTCACTGGGACCCAGGGGGACAGTGTGCCCAAAGCTGAGTCCCCACGGGGCTCGCTCTTGTCTGACATGGTGCCCCCAGCCCCCACCAGAGGTCAGGGCATCGTCCCCTCACCCCCAGGCCCACTTGCGGACTTGCTTTGCTGAGTCTCTATGGTGTTTAATTTTTTTTTAATGAGTTGCCAACATTGTAAACATTCAGGTATGTTTAAGTGTTAAATATTGGAATATGTGTAGAACAGTGTAACAGGTGTAAAAATCTTTTACCTGTAATCCTGATTTGTGGCTCTTCTTGAGAAGTCTTCGTAGCTGGCAACCCCGAGTCCCAGCAGCCGCATTAAGGTGAGCAGGTGCTCTTGTGTTTGCTGAAACCCTTGTATCCCCCCCCCCCGCCCCCACCCCCGCCATCATAGGCATTGCCTGAGGTCCTTTGGCTCACCTGTGTCTCACCTGCCTGGCCCCGTGTGAGTTCACCCCCTCAGGGCAGAGCGGCTCCTGCCCCTGTCCAGCTAGGGGACAGTCGCCCGTCTGGGTGGGGGTCCTGTGGCCTCTGCCAGCTGTAGTTGGAGTCGTGCTGCCAGGTTCCAGTCCCAGCCCCTGCTACATCCTGGAGGCACAAGTCGGAGGTGGCTCCGGAGCCTGGTTCCTCACGTGAGGAGCGGGAGTGAGGGCCTCATCGCTGGCCCCGGCGAGCCAGGGACGGTGCTCAGCAGAGCGGCACGTGGGAAACGCTTGTTCGGGGTGCCCGTGACTGACAGCGTGTGGAGACCCCGTTAGAGTCCAGGCTGAGTGAGCACAGGCAGGCTGTGTCACCTCACTTTCCCTGGGCTGTGACGGCCTCCTAGTAGGGTGGGGTGAGGGTTCCAGCAGCAGCAGCAGCGGAGCATCACCTGCTCCAGTGGGGTCCCTGTGATGATCAGGGGCCACCCTGCGTGGGGGCTAAGCCAGGGGGTGTAGGCTACTGGGGGTGGTCCTGAGGGCCACGCTCGGAATGGAGCCCCCACCCTGCCCTGCCTATGACTGGCACCATCTCATCCTCGGGTGTCAGTCGCTCAGGTGGACCTTCTACTGACCTCTCTGTGGCCCAGCCCACCTGCGTACCGTCCCCCCAGGTGTACTTGGCCCACCTGTGTCCCCCACCCTCAGGTGTGCTCAGCTTACCTGCCTGGCTCCGCTCTCCCTAAAATCCTCGTGTTGGCTTTCTGTCTGCCTTTCCTCTTGTGGCTCCACCCAGCCATCCTCAAGGCCCTTTGAGGGCAAGGCCTGGGCTGTTTGGCGTTACCTGGCTGTGCCCACAGAAGCAGGTGCTTGTGAAGAAAGCAAAATGACACATGACATGTTTCAACAAGATGTATAGTTTTCCTTCTAGTTTTTGTTTTTAATTGGCACTGTCCACATTCTCGGATTGCATCAGAAAGGCTTTGCCTGTCAGTGGTTTAGATCTGTGTCTGTCTGTGTCTCTGTCCCTCTTCCTGTTGAGGCTAAAAAGGGAGTTGATTTGTTTGTATCCAGTCAAGCAAAGTGGTGGAGCCTGGAGCCTGCCTCTGCGGAGGCCTGTTCGGGAGCGAGTCTGTGTCTGAACGTAGCACGGGGGTCAGGGAGCACCCGGGCTCCTGCTGCCCGGTCAGGGAGCTCCTGGCCCATTTTACGGATAAGAAGGCTGAGGCTCTGGGGCTTTTACAGCTGCTAAGTAGCAGATCGAGGCTGGGGGCCAGATCTGGGCAATGGGCAAACCCAAGCTGTGTGGCGCCCTGAGCCCCCGATGCTGTGGAGGGCTTGCCGTGCACGTTCAGGAAGTACCTGGCACGGGGAGGGAAGTCTCGCCTCCCTAGGGTGGAACTGAGCACACCTAGTCTGGGTCTTCAGACTCTGTTCATGTGTACGAGCGTGTTGCACACGTGTTAAGTGCCAGGCCTCGGGCTACGGCAGGAAGGATGGAAGATACGGGCTCTGCCCAGAGGCGCAAAGTCGGGTGAGGAGGGCAGACCCGAGGAAGGAATTCGTCCCAAGTGGGAGGAGAGGGGTGTCCGGGCTGCCTTGAGTCCCACGGGGCAGGTACGACGGGCTCTGCACGAGGGTGCAGATTCACAGAAGGTCTCCTGAGGAAGTGAGATTGGTGTAGACGGGAAGGGAAGAGCATTTCAGGCAGGGGGAACAGCCTGTGCAAAGGCTCAGGGTAGAGCATGTGGTTCCCTCGAGGACTAGAAAGCTCCCTCTGCCCTACAGCGAAGAGAGCTTGGGGGGGGGACAGTTGGGGGGAGACGAAGCCTGAGTGCTGAGGGGGGCGGCCTACGGGGCTCTGGGGTGCTGTGCTGAGGAGAATGCAAGAGGCTCACCTTCCTGAAAGCTCCCACTGGGTGAGGCTCGGGGCGGGGGTGCTGGAGGAGATGAGGGGGGGCTGGGATCACGCTGGGTCCAGGCTGAGCTCGAGGAACTACGCTGGCTTCCACAGTAGGAAGTGTAGCTTCAAGAAGCTGAATCTGTGGCAGAGAAACGGGAAGGAGGGTTTTCTGCACCTGAGACCTTGCCCGGGGCCTATTGGCACGGGGGTCTGTGGAGCTCAGCTCCTGGGGTTGGAGGCAGGAGGTCCCAGCGGACGGAGCTGGGCAGAGGTGAACCCCATCTCGGGCTCTGGGGGCAGGGGACCTGGCGCGACATCCAGAACAGGATGTGAGGGTCACGTGGCCGGGGGCTGTGTCCTCTGCTCCTGGGCTTGCGTCTTTCTGCAGAGTCCCTCCTCCCAGAGACTTACACTCCTGTCGTCCCTCTCATGCTCCAGGCCAGCCTGTGCTCTTCCAAGGCCCTGGTGGGAAGAGCACGGACCCTCCCCTCCGAGGACAGCTCTCCACGCCCACGGGGTCTCCACATCTCACCACTGTCCACCGGCCGCTGCCCCCCAGCCGTGTCATTGAGGAGCTGCACAGGGCGCTGGCCACCAAGCATCGCCAGGACAGGTGAGGCCCTCCCCCTGGTCGGGAGACCCATGTGCTCAAATCCCCACCAGCCTCGTGCTCTTCACCTGTGTGGTCATGGGGCTCAATGCACGGCTGTCACCGTCTCAGAATTCTTAAGTTTTGGATAAGAGCATCACCTTTTTACTTTGCACAGAGCTCTGGTCTGGGTTGCCACATTCTAGGAGAGGACATTCAGGGGTGCACACGTGGGAACCTGGCCACAAAGCTCCCCCCTGCATTTCTCCCGATGGATCCAGGCTAGGGTGGGGGCACCCGTGGAAGAGAAGTAGATGTCACACTGGCCCAGGACTCTGAAGACTTGGAGTTTTCATTAGGCAAGAGTGCAAGGAAGCCCGTTCTGGAAGCTTTTACTCTTTTATTTTTGATCTCGCGTGTCCATAGACCGTGAAAGAGAAATGAGTTGATGCAGGGCAGAGCGGTTAGGTAGCGGGACCCGTGTATGGTTTGGCAGAAGCACGGCGCAGAGGACCCGGGCCTTTGCTGCACGGAGTGGGACGGGATCCTAACGTGCCTCTCTCCTGCATGTGCCATCCGGGACCGCTGGGCCCGTGGATGTGGGACGGAGGCCACGGGGCCGCCTTTGCGATACCATCACAAGCCAGGTCCTCCGACAAGGTGGGCAGCGTGTAACCCGAACTGTCTTCTGGTTCAGTTTTCAAGGAAGGGACAATAAAGCGTCCCCGAAGAAGCGCGTGGACGTGCGCCTGTCCAGGACGTGCAGCGTGGAGCGGGGCAAGGACAGGGAGGAGGCTTGGAGCTTCGACGGGGTCTCGGACAGCAAGCGGACCGCGGCCAAAGGGTCTGAGGAGGACAAGGAGAACCTGATCGTGAACTCGGAGCTCAAGGATGACCTGCTGGTGTATCAGGACGAGGAGGCGCTGAACGACTCCATCATCTCTGGTGAGGAGGGCCCGGAGCCTGCCGTGCGGGCCGCCATGGGGGCCACAGGGCCCAGGGACAAGGAGGTGCCTTGAGTGAGCACAGAGGAGGGGACAGGGCCAGGCCGGCCGGGCTGCCCCCAGCAGGAGGGAAGGGGGCTGCATCTCTGAGGATGAGCAGGGGAGCCCCTGAAGACTGGCGGGTGGGGTTGGGAGATGCACAGTGAAGCTGGATTATTTTGGTAACTGCGTATTGATTTTCGTGTGTTTTTGAAAATATGTGAAAGAGGTTCAGTACGTAACTTTGCGGGTGTCGCTGCTTAGGGAGATGTGGCAAAAGTCGTATAGGTGGTACGCCGAGGGCTAACTTTTGGAAAATAGAGCAAAGAATGCTGCCGGGAAGGCGAGGCTGAAGCGGGAGGGAGAGGGCCGGGGTCCGCGGCCATCCAGGTGTGGCGCGCGCGTGACCGTGCCTGCGTGTGTGGGTGCTCATCCTGGGACGTCAGCTCACGCGGGCTCTGGAGCTCGGCACTGCTCCATCCTGGCTTCTGGACTCAGGCTCAGGGAGGTGGAAGGAGCGGAGGTGCAGGTCAGGCCAAGGGAGTGCAGGGCGGGTCCCCTGCAGGCTGTCCAGGCTGTGCTGAGGGCCTGCTCCTTGCAGGAGGGTCGATCTCCTGGTGACTGTCACCACCGTGGGCAGAGCTCTGGGTCGAGGCACCGGGGACCCAGCCCAGCAAATGGCTTCTTCCTTGGGTGTTGGGTAGCAACTGAGGAAGGGGCTGACGTTGACCTGGGTCCTGGCTGGTCCCCAGGGAGGTGGTACCATGACCAGGTGGATAGAGCCCAGGGTTAGACAGCAGCCTGGCTGTCACTCTTCCTGTCCACTTGCATCCTTCTGAGCCTTTTCCACCCCAGCCAGCGAATCCTGTGAGGAACACCAGCATCCTGTGCATTGGGAAGACGCTGACTTTGATCACTGAACCAGAAACCTGGAGCCGGTCACTGGCTGGGGGATCTGGACATGTCCGAGGAGCTGCGGCCTGTGGGCTTTCCCAAGCTTACCTGGCCCCAGGACTGTCTTCCTTGAATACCCGTCAGCCTCTGAGGGACGGGGTCAGGAGGGAGATCTCTGAGAACGGCTGGTGTAAGCGAGGGTGCCAGGCTGGCACAGGTGCCTTCAAGCTCAGCACCAGTGACATCAGGGGCTGGGTGGTTCTCTGGGGCGGGGTGAAGGCTGCCCTGCGCCTTGGAGGGTGTTGAGCAGCATCTTTGGCCTGCACCCCCTGGACCAGCTCCCTCCAGCTCTAGGGGTGGACGTGTCTGCCTCTTTGGCTGCCCGTGGCTCCAGACGCTCCTGGGCTTGGCAGCTGCTTCCCTGTCTCTGTAACTCCTCAGTTCCCCTCTTCTCCCTGGGCCCTCTCCCTTTCTCCCATCTAAGTACTAACCAAACCTGACCCTGCTGAGCTCCTGAGATCAGATGAGATAATCTGGATAATTATGGGTGAGTCTCCTCATTTTGACATCCATGAGTACATCTACAAAAAATAAATTGCATCTTTTCCCAAATAAGGTCGCATTCATAAGTATAGGGTACACACATCTTTAGGGGTCACCATTCCACCTCTCCAGCCACTCCCAGTGGCATAATAGGCTCCTCACTGAGCCACTGTGGTCTAATGGGAGCAGGAGGGTAGGACTCCTCCTAGAAACTCTGCTGCTAACGTGTGCAGGCTCGCCACCAAGCTGCCCGGGAATATGCTGCACTTACTGCATTTGCAGAGCCTGGACAGAGCATCCTCTCCTCTGTCCCTTCTTCTGTGGGCACCGCTGTTCTGGGTTCATGGTCAGGATCTGACATTCAACCCTAAGAACATCCTGCCGTGGTCTGGGCTTGTTGCACACGCCATCAGGACTTCCTGGAGATTCTAGTCTTCTGCAAATTGAGCCTGTGGGGGCTCATCCCAGGTGCATGACACGGCGTTCCCAAACCATGGAAATACAGCATGGGAAGGGGTTTCCTTGATTTTACACACTCTCCTATGTGTTCGTAATTCTCTCAAAGTTAAGAGCCTCTCAGATAAAGTACTTGGAAGGAAAAGTTCTATTTTGTACTAGAAAAAGTCTAGAAACGTTACCTTGTGAAGGAATGTTACTCACGGAAGGAAAGGCCCATGAAAACGTTCTGCTTTGCGTGGAAGGACAGTAGCGGCAGGGATCAGTTATTTGCTTCTTTTGGATTCAAGAAACTTTGCAGGCATTGTCCCGTCCCACGTGATCAGCCCAAAGATGTGCCATCCTGAGTTCTGTAATAAGGTGGCATCCTATGCATCTGAGTTAGAATTTCATTTCTAGAGCTGGGGGTGGCCCCATGCAAGGCAGGTTGCCTTATGGATCCGCCGGAAGGCTGTCCGACCTGGCTGAGTTGGAGTGAAAAAAAAAATGTATCTGTTGTACTCTGAGTCTGGCAATGGATTTCCATGCAGAGCAAATCAAATGTCTTGGTCAACACAGAAAGATGTGTGACGGACGGCGGATTGATGCTTCGTGCCCGCCTGCAGCGGGTAGAGATACCGTCACGGGCCTGTACAGTCAGTGCTCGGTAATAACAGGACGCTGGGGGCGTTCTCAGCTTCAGCAAAGGTGAATCATGAAGATTTAATTCTTTTTACGAGCAGTTGTAGGTCCACAAGAAAATTAGGAGAGAGTTAGAGAGACTTCCATGCGCGTCCCCAGCCCCGCACCTGCATCGCCTCCCTGTTACCAGCGTCACTCCAGAGTGGTGTGTTTGTGACAGTTGACGAGCCCGCCCTGACCCCTCATCCCTCAAAGGGTTCACTCTCGGTGTTGTGCGTTCTGTGGGTTTAGGCAAGTCGACAATGACTTGTGTCTGCCATGATTTCATTCAGAGAATTTCCACTGCTCCAAAAATCCTCCGTGCTCCCCCTGTTCATCCCTCCCACCCCCACCCCCACCCCCACCCCCATGACCGCTGAGCTTCTTATTGTCTGTAGTTTCACTCTTCAGGAATGTCATATGGTTGAAATCACGCAGTGTGTACCCTTTCCAGACAGGCTTCTTTCACCTAGTAATACGCATTCAGGTTTTCCTCCGTGTCTCTTCATGGCTTGATGGCTCATTTCTTCTCCGTGCTGAATGGTATTTCATTGTCTGGATGGACCGCAGTTTGTCCGTTCCCTCCTGAAGGACACTCTGGTCCCTGCCAAGTTTTGGTAATAATGTATACAGCTGCCATACAAACCCATGTGCAATTTTTTGTGTGTGTGTGGACGTGATTTTTCACCTCTTTTGAGCAAATACCACGCAGCCCGATTGCTAGATTGCTATGCTAAGACCATGTTTAGATTTGTAAGAAACCATCCAATGGTCTTTGAAGTGGCTGCGCCATTGCGCATTCCCACCAGCTTGAATGAGCACTCCTGCTGCCCCATGTCCTTGCCAACGTCGGGTGTCATCAGCGCTCTGGATTTTGACCCTTCTCAGAGGTGTGTGGTGCTGTCTTGTTTTAATTTGCATTTCCCTGAGGACCTACGACGTGGAGCATCTCTGCATGCTCGCTTGCTACCTGTGTATCTTTGGTGGGGTGTCAGAGTTTTGGATCCATTTTTTAATCGGGTTATCTGTTTGCTTAGGGTTGAGTTTTAAGAATTCTTTATATTCAGGATGAAGAGTTCTTTATCAGATGTAACTTTTGGAAATATTTTCTCCCAGCCTGTGTCCTCTCTTGTTCTCTTGACATTGTCTTTCACAGAGCAGAGGTTTTGAATTTTAATGGAGTCTAGTTTATTGATTATTTTTATCATGTGTTGTGCTTTGAGCAGTGTATCTAAAAGGACATCACCATATTCAAACTCACTTAGGTTTTCTCATGTCGTCCCCTAAGAGTTTTATAGTTTGGAATTTTACATTTAGATGTATGACCTATTGTGTGAAGGTTATATGGCCCATGTCAAGATTCTTTTAATTTTTTCCATGCGACTGTCCAGTTCTAGACAATTTGCTAATTAATTTATTTAATGTAGAATTTTAATTCATCATAAAAATTTAAAATGTATTTAACAATTTAACATTTTAGACATTTTTTTTTAAGTAGGCTCCATGACTACCATGGAGCCCAGTGCTGGGCTTGAACTCATGACCCTGAGATCAAGACCTGAGATGAGATCAAGAATCAGACACCTAACCGACTGAGTGAACCAGGCACCTCTAATATTTATTTAACAATTTAAAGAATTATTCCAAATATAATGTTGAGGATTTTTGCATTGGTGTTCATGAGAGATTTTGGTCTATAGTGTTTCTTTCCCTACAATGTCTAATACCAATAATTTTGGTATTAGGGGAATGCTGGCCTCAGAGTGAATTAGCATCCTGTTCTCAGCTTCTGTCCTCTGCAGGAGATTGCAGAGAATTGGTATACTTTCCTTAAAATTTCAGTAGAATTCACCAGTGAACCCATCTTGGCCTAGTGCTTTCTGTTTTGAAGGTTATTAATTATTGATTCAATTCCTTTAATAGATTTAGGCTTGTTCAGATCATCTGTTTATTCTTGTGATTTTGGACAGATTGTGTCCTTCGAGAAATTGGTCCACTTCCTCCAGGTCATGCAGTTTGTGGGAATGGAGTTGTTCATAGTATATCTTTATTCTTTTAATGTCTATGGGATCTGTAGTGATGTCCCTTCTTTCATTCTGATATTAGTAATTTGTGGCCTCTATCTTTTTTTTTCCCCTTAGTTATCCTGGCTGGAGGTTAATCAATTTTATTGATCTTTTCAAAGAACCAGCTTTTGGTTTCATTGATTTTTCTCTGTTGATTAGCTATTTGTTTTTAAAGATTTATTTATTTATTAGAGATACAAAGAGAGAGAGAGACAGAGAGACAGACAGGTAGAGGGAGAAACAGGCTTCCTGCATGGAGCCTGACATGGGACTTGATCCCGGGTCTCCAGGATCACGCCCTGGGCCAAAGGCAGCACTAAACCGCTAAACCACCAGAGCTGCC